GACAAAATTCCTTCTTCCTCAGAAAAACTCAGTCTCTGCTCTTAAACCTACTGTTGATCAGATGACACCCACCCACATTATGGAGGGAAATCTCTTTACTCAAAGTCTACTGACTTAAATGTTAACCCCATCTAAAAATGGTCACAACATTTAGACTGGTGTTCAACCAAACAACTGGCCATATCTAGCCATGGTGAGACATAAAATTAACCATCACAGCCCTGGCCGGTTTGGCTCAGAGGTTAGAGCGTCGGCCTGTGGACCAGAGAGTCCAGGGTTCGGTTCCCGTAAAAGGCACGTACGTTGGTTGCGGTTTGTCCCTGGCCCTGGTTGGGGTCGTGTGGGTGTCAACCAGTCGATGTGTCTCTCTCACATTGATGTTTCTCTCTCTCTTCCTCCCGCTCTATTTGAAGATAAATGCTAAAAAGTCCTCAGGTGAGGATACAAAAATAAAAATAAAAAATAAAAAAAAATCTAATTAACCATCACAGTATTCTTTGTTGTTTTGTTTCGTTTGTTCTTTTTTTTTATTTTTAAAAAAGTATATAACAACTAAAAAAATGGAGTTCCTTGTGGAATCAAGTTCATAGCAGAATTCTTTTTGTTAAAACCAAGAACCATATTTGAATATGACTTTCCTAAGGAAAATAATATGAGATACTTTATTATCTCTTATTTATTAAACAAATAATTTATTGAAAAAGTGAACATGTTTGTTCTTTCATAATAGGTTAAGGGTATTCTTTAAATATTTTGAATACTACTCCTCTATTGTAGGTTTTAAATATTGTTCTCAGTGTTTGGCTTGTGTTAACATTTGTTTATGGTGATTTCTCATTGAAAAATATTGTATTTTGATGTAGTTAAGTTTATCAGGTTTTTTTTTTTTTTTTTATGATTTGTACTTTTCATGTTTGTTTAGAATATCCTTTCCTCTCCCAATATCATATAGAAATTATCCTGCATTTCATTACATGTTTTAAAAGCATACTTTCTCATTTGGCCTTTAATCCACTTAAAGTTTACTTGTCATATATGTGTGAAATCAAGATAAAATTATTTTATATAGCCTTGACTGGTTTTGCTCAGCGGTTAGAGCATAGTCCCACTGACCAAAGGGTCACTGGTTTGATTCCCAGTCAAGGGCACATACCTAGGTTGCAGGTTTGATCCCCAGTCCCAGTCAGGATTGTCTGGGAGACAACCAATCAATGTGTCTCTCTCACATAGACGTTTCTCTCTCTATTCCTCCCCCCCTCCTTTCCACTGTCTCTAAAGAATAACCCAAAACATTATCATACACACACACACACACACACACACACACACACATTCAATATGCTTTTATAAACAATCTTTAGAACAGTTACAGGTTTACTGAAATTGTTACTATAGCTACAGAGAGTTCTCATATCTGGTACTCAGTTTCCTCTATCATTAACAAATTACATTAGAATGATACATTTGTTACAATTAATGTTACAATGTTGACCCATTATTATTGCACTAAAGTCCATGTTTTATTCAGTTTTCCTGAATTTTTACCGAATGTCTTCTGTTTACAAACCATGTATAAAGTGAATGTTTTGCAAATATTTCTCTTGGTCTGTGGCATTTCTTCTCACCTTCTCTCTCTCTCCCCTCTTTCCTTACACCTGTCTGTACCTCTGGAATGGTGTCTTAGTTCAGGCTGCGGTGACAGAAGACTGTAGACCGAGGCCTAGACAGCACACAGCTGCGCCTCGCAGTTCTAGAGGCTGGAAGTCTCCTGGTCAGTCCGCCAGCGTGGCCGGGCTCCTGGGGCGAGCCCTCCTCCTGGTTTGTGGAGGGAGGACTGCTCTCTTGCTGTGTCCTGCGTGGCAAACAGCAAGCAATGAACAGAGTCTTTTTTATTTTTTGTGGTTTATAAGTACTTTATTTTTATCGTTGACACTAATACAAGTGTCCCATCCCCCCCCTTCCCCCTCCACTCAGCCCCGTGTCCCCCCTACCCGTCCCCTGGTCATAACCCATTGTTGTGTCTGTGGGTCATGCATATATGTTCTCTGGCTAATCCCTTCCCTTGTGTCCCTTCTCGTGAGGACTGATCTCATTTGTGAGGGCTCCATCCCCATGACCTCATAATCCCCCCCAAAGCCCTTCCTGCTAATACCATCACATTGAGGGTTAGGATTTCAAAATGTGAATTTTGAGGGGACACAAATATGTAGTCCATTACAAATGGCTTTGCCTCACTAAGTTCTTACTTGAAATCATGGGATTTGTGCTTAGGTATTGCTTTCTGCATAAAGCTTTTCCAGCCTCCTCAGATCATAATAACTTCCCTTCCTTTTTGCTACTGTGATTATTTCTACTGAAGCATCGATCAGTCTACATTATTATTGTCTATTTACTTATTCATCTTCTCCATTAGAAACTTCCGATCTTTGGGGTGTGTGAATTGTTCTTCTAGTAGCTCTTGTGTTTAGTGTAGCGCTTGGCACATAAGAGATGCTCATCAAATATTGGTCGAATCAATTGTTATGTGAATGGTTCTTGCCAGGAGAAGACAAATGTAATTCATTTGTCTTGAGTGTGTGATACTGACTCTGTAGGCAAAGGGATTTAGAGGAGCCTGAAATTAAGTCTGAGTTAGTGTCAGCAAGAATATGAGGGTGGTGGGTGCAATGGAGTGCAAGACTTTGGCAAGTTTGTGCGCATGAAATAGCCGAGAATCTGGTTTAGGACAGCAACTCGAAAACGGGGGGAGGGGGGAGTGTAGCAGCAGTTTAGGATGAGAAACAGCTGGACCTAATGACAGATTTGTTTCAGTGAAAAAAGAAAAAAATAAGATACAAATAATTAATAATAATGCTTGCATTATCTAGTGCTTGCCAAAATGCTATCAAACATAAACCTTTCATAGTGCTGGTAGGCACATAAATTGCTACCAACTTTCCACAAAATATTTGGGTATTATTTCTCAAAAGCCTTCACATGAAAATACCATTTGACCCATTATTTATATTCCTAGGAATGCATCCCAAGGAAATCATCAGAAATGGGGATAAATATTTATGAACAAATATGTGCATTATTTATGAGAGTAAGAAACTGGAAACCACCTAAAAATCCAGTACTATGAAAATGATTATGTAAATTATGATATATACTCATGTGAAGTAACAAAGTATAATCATTAACAATTATATTTTCAATGCTTGTTATGATAATGAAAATACTTATGATCGAGCATTAAAAAAGGAAGGCAGGTTATAAAATTATATTATCTCAATTATCTAGAGAAAAATTCTTAGTACAAGGCTGAAAAATAGATGTCTAAAATATTAATGATGGTTGCTTCTAGGCAGAGAGGTGATTTTCTTCCCTGCTTCGCTGAATATATCTATAATTTCTGAATTTTTTTTACTGTAAGTATTAGCTTGCTCACCCAGAGGGGATTTTTAAAAAGTGTATTTTTGAAGTAGAGACAGTTTTACACTCAAACCCAGTGCTCCCTCCTCCATAAAATCTCATGTCCTCTAAATTAAAAAACAATAACCCCTTCCTCTTATCCTTTGTCATTTGTTAATTTGTCCATCCAGCAAAATGTGTTATACTCAATGCTGGAAAGAGACAATGTAACACGTATTCTCTGCCTTAGAAGAGCCCCAGCTTCTGGGACAGGTAATCATGTAATTAACAGTGATTAAGAAACATGTATAATACCCAGGGCAGACATTTCTACAGGGCGTTGGGACCACAGAGAAAGGAATGGCTAGCTTTGCTTATTGGGAGCTAGCATTTGAACTGGCTTGTAAAGTTGTCAGTGAGAGTCACTGATGAAAGCCAAGCCCTGGGAAGATGAGGATTGATCGTCTCAGGTAACAGGAGATGACAAAGTTCACGTTGAATTTACATGCTGATGGAAGATAGACTATGAATGGAGAGAATTTAGTCTGAGTAGGTGGAGGTGGGTAATTTGTGGACGTGCCCACCGTAACATGAGCCTGGGCTTGATGGCTGTGTGCTGGCCAAGGGGGGGCCTGGGAAGGTTTGACTTAGCGGAGAATTGACACAGCCAAGTTCTGCTTGTTTGATGTCAGTTTCTCCCCCAGCGCAGTCCAGGGTCTGGCACGCCCTCTTCCACAGACTTGGTGCTTGGCAAGTAGCGGTGGCAGGAGAGGATTGTGACTGTGGTCATGGCCAAGTTGTGTCTGGTGGGCAGAGATCCCTCACAGGTATTTCGGAATTGGAAATGGAAACATGGATAATAGTTTAGGTCAGGATTTCTCAGCATATTTTCATTACTGGCCCCCTAAGGAAACGTTTTACTTCTAGACATCCCCCTAGAGTTTGAATAACACAGATATAACACTGTGTATTTGTTTATGAACTTCATGTTCATCTGTGCCTCATACCCAAAGAGATACATTTTTTTTTCATCTTTCTCTTCAAGACCAACTTTTGTCCCCTTGGTGGTGTTACTATCCCTGTTGAGAGTGCATGAGTTAGAGCCTTTTAATAAAACGTTTAACCTTGATAAAATACACATAACATAAAATTTTCCATCGTAATTTCCTGAACTCTTTTTATTTTGTGAAACTGAAACTCTGTACCTGGAAACAACTCCCCATCCTCCCATCCCCCAGCTCCTAGCAACCACCACTCAACTTTTTAAAATAATTTGTTATTGAATTTATTGGGGTGAAACTGGTTAATAAAATTATATAGGTTTCAGGTGTACAATTCTATAATCTATTGTCTGTATATTGTATCGTGCATTCACTACCACAAGTCAAGTCTCCTTTCATCACCATTTATCCCCTTTTACCTTTTCTGCCCCCTTCCCTCTGGTAATCATCATACTGTTGTCTGTATAGGAGTTGTTTTTTCATTGTTTTTGCTCAATCCTTTCACCGTTTTTACCCAGCGCCCCCCAGACCCCTCCCTTCTGACAGCTGTCAGTCTGTTCTCTGTATCTATGAGTCTGTTTCTGTTTTGTTTACTTTGTTCATTAGATTCCACATGGAAGTGAAATCCCGTGGTGCGTCTCTCTCTCAGAATGGCTGATTTCACTTAACACGATGCTCTCCAGGTCCAGCCATGCTGCCACAAAAGGTACGATTTCCTTCTTTCTTACAGCTGAGCAGTATTCCATTGTATAAAGGTACCACAGCTTTTTTATCCACTCTTTGAATTTGACTACTTTAGGTATCTCACACAGGTGGAATTATGCAGCATTTGTCTTTTTTGAGAGTGGCTTATTTCACTTAGTATAATGGCCTTAAGTTTACTCCTGTTGTGGCATATGTCAGAATATCCTTCTTATTTATTTATTTATTTATTTATTTATTTATTTATTTATTTATTTATTTATTTCCTCACCCAAGGATATTCTCCACTGATTTTTAGATAGAGTGGAAGGAAGAGAGGCAGGGAAGGAGGGAGGGAGGGAGAGAAAGAGACGATGTGAGAGAGACACATCGATTGGTTACCTCCTGTATGACCCCAACTAAGGTCAGGAATCGAACCTGCAACCCAGGTATATGCCCTTGACTGGAATTGAACCCGTGGCCCTTCGGCCTGAGGGACGATACTTTAACTGCTGAGCCAAACCGGCCAGGGCTTCTTCCTTTTTAAAGCCTTAATAATATTCAGTTGTGTGTAGAGAACCCATGTTTATCCATTCATCTGTGAATGGACACTTGTGTTCTTCTCACCTTTTGGCTGTTGTGAATAATGTTGCTATACACATGGGTGTGCAAATATCTCTTTGAGACTCTTCTTTCAGTTACTTGGAGTATATACCCAGAGGTGGAAATGCTAGGTAATATGGTGACGTTATGTTTAATGCTTTTTACGAACCGCCATACTGCTTCCAGTAGTGTCGACACCATTTTATATTTCCACCAATGGTGCACAGGGGCTCTAATTTCTCCTTATTCTCACCCACATTTATTGTTTTCTGTGTTTTTTTTTATTTTATTTTTTTAACAGTAGCCACCCTAATAGATGTGAGGTGATATCTCTTTATGGCTTTGATTTGCACTCTCCTAATAATTAATAATGTTGAGCATCTTTTAATATACTTGTTGGACATTTATATTATCTTCTTTAGGTAAATTTTTATTTAAATTTTTGCCCATTTTTAATCCAGTTTTTGTTGTTGTTGTTACTGAGTTGTAGGAGTTTTTTAAATCAATATTCTGGATAATAATGCCTTATAAGATATATGGCTGGCAAATATTTTCTTCTACTCCATAGGTTTGGTTTTCTTTTCAATGTGTTGATTGTGTACTTGGACAGAGTTAGAGACTTTTAAAACTCAATGGATGTTTAAGTTCCCATGACCTTTGACTTTCTTTTCCTATTTCTTCTTTCCCTGGTAACTCGGGGGTTGGAATCCAGATGGTGGTAGCCTAGGCCTGGGCAGGCATTGAGATTCAACCTGGTACCTAAGATGCGGGCCATGGTGCCTTAGGAAAAGTCTAGGTACATGAGCCTGTGAGTTTCTGCATCACTTAGAGAAAGATGGATGTTGCCCAGTCATTCAACCGGACCGGAACATGATGGGAAGGATGAATCACATCACCCTCTTAAAAGAGCACAATGGCAAAGAGGCACGAGTGGATTCGAAGCACAGGTCCTCAGGATGAGAGCAGACATTCTCTGCTAAGTGTTCCCCTTTCACTCCATTTGTTAGTGTCACGGGCTGGTCACTGTTAGTTTAAGGCTGTTTGCACCTTGTTCACATAATCGAGCTGTCCACCTGTCTCACTGGTGTTTTCTACATGGACAACCAGGCAACTGACTTGAGGTTTCCTTTCACCTGGAGAGTGGGTCGGGACTAACATCTGGGGGTGCGCTCTCATAGACGCAGCCAGTCCAAGTCCAGCCAGAAAGTCCGTCCCTCTCAGGGAGTGAAGTCTTGACTTCTCTCTCAGTTTATGTATGAAGCCATTACCTTGCATGACGATTAAACTTGCAATAGGAGGGGGGAAAATCTTCTCGGGTATTCCTACGGGAGGGAAGTAATGCATTTAGAAATCTTCCTGATGACACGCCGATAGGATGAGTGCTGTAATCCCGTGTGCTCTCTGTCTGCGATGTCTCCTGGTGTCTAGGGTAAGTCAATAGAGTTTCACTCTCTAATTGAAATCAGCATGCTGATGGAGTCTGCTGGTGGAAATGAAAGGTAGCTGCTGTAATCTGTTGGGAGTTGAATTAATCCTCCGGGAGCAAGGCTGACCTAATTACTCCACTCAGAAACCCTGGGCTGGCTTTCAGGTCTCAGTCCACAGCTGCTGGGCTCGTCATTCCTTGAATTGCCTCAAACTCACCGAACATGTCATTGTGAGACCTTTTCACTGGGGAGTGCTGGTTCTTATGCTTTTCACCTTTTTATTCGAAGGTATTAAGTCAAATGAAAGGGCCAGTTTGCCAGGCGCACTCAGATGTTACGTACAGAAGTTATGATACTCAAAGTAATGCTGCTCAGGGGGATTATTGGGAGAAACATGACATTAAACTTGTCCCAGAATCATCAAGTTTAACCCAATGATGGCAACGAGAGTCATTTTTGAGGCCATATCATGACGCAGGCACTGCCCTAAGTATGTTGACAATATTTTCTCCTTTCATATCCACAACAGTGTTTGAAGTAGATGCTGTCACTATTCCATATGTATGATCTCTCTGTCTCTGTCTCCATGTCTATTTTTAGGGAAGCACCTAGAGTTTAATATCTGCCCAATGTCACACAGCAACTTAGTCTCAGAACCATAGTTGAAAATGATGTCCAACTCCAGAACTACACTGTCACATAAAATACAGGACTCGCAGTTAGATTTGAATTGCAGAGAGGCAATGAAAAAGAATTTTTAGTATACATATGTCCCAAATATTGCAGGGGACATGCAAATACTCAGAAGCTGTTTGTTGTCTGCCCTGGCCGGTTTGGCTCAGCGGTTGGAGTATTGGCCTGCGGACCAGAGAGTCCCGGGTTCGGTTCCCGCTAGGGGCACATACTAAAAAAAAAAAAAAAAGAAGTTGTTTGTTGTCTGCCTGAAATGCTAATTCAACCGAGTGTATCGCGTGGGCTGTTGGGCTTGTTTTATTTTGTGTTTGCTGAAGCTCGCAGCCCTATTTATAGCCACTGTTCTCAAGCACCTCGCTATATGTATACTCTCCACCTGAACAGAGAGGGCACTGGGCCCTGAGCCGAAACGTGTTCCTTAGGGTCCCATGGCGGATGAGTGGCGGAGCTAGCTCCTCGCACCCCATCTCACCCTAGACGGTCCCTCCCTTCTCTTACCATGTTAGACCCCAGGTTGTGAGGCTCAGCTGAATGCTGCAGAGACTTGGGGTTCTTTGCCCGGGAGTAGGTACACATTTGCGCTTGTCCGTGCTAAATCTCAGGAGCTGTAATTGGCATACACTTCAAACTTGGCGGGCCGAACTTTTGGGGGTGCTGAACATTCATCATTCTACAAATGCAGTATCTACATATTCATGTAGTATATGAATATGCGCGTTATGGTTTGCGGTCCTTTGAAGTGTTAAATCTTCACATGATGGTGATGGCCCCACAACTAGAACAGAGTAGCCAACATAGAGCGTTGCTTAGTAACTTAACAAAGACTTCAGCTTCATTTAATTTTTTTCTCTAGTCACGTGCTGTACCTCGTGGTGATTAAGACATCTGCGTTCTGATCCCAGCTGGGCCATTGGGCTTTGAGACCTTGGGCAAGCTTGTCCCTGCGTAAAAAGTGGCAAATGGGACTGGGTGTTTCTCTCCTGATGTCCCTTTTGTCCTTGATGGTCTGTGGTTTCAGCGCTTGAGCAGAATTGGCTCAGGTGTTCCAGCGCTGATTTTTGTGACTCGTATTATAATGGCATTCTAGGATCTTTGTTTCATTCACTTGTGGGTCGATCCCTTAGTTACACTCTTAGCCCTCGGTTGGCTGCTTCAATCAGACGGTTTGGCCAGTTTGTCCTCTATAGGGTCAGAGAATGGTGTCTGATAATTCTGTCATCTTTTCCCCATAGAATTCAGCACAGTTCTGCGTGATAGAAGGTGAATACAATCTTTTCTATTGATTGAGTAATTGATCATTTAAAAGTCTGTGGGCACCAACCAGCTGAAGGCCCCATACAGTCTGCCGAAACCCACTTTTCTTCTGTGTTCTTTGTCACCAATCAATACAGTGTTTCAGTCACCTAGCATGACTTTCTTTTACCCAGACATGGTACGCAGTGCTTTGCCTTTGTACTTTTGCTGCCTCATCTGTCATACCCCATCTTTTTTGCTTAGTAATGGGAGCCAACACTTTTAAGGTGCTCACTCCATGCCAGGCACTGCTACGCACGAGCTTATCCAGTGTCCCAACATCACGAGGGAGGAGGTGATACTCCTAGCCCCATTTTACAGAAGTGGCAACTGAGATGTGAGAGATTTACAACTTCTCCGAAGTTGTGTAGCTTGTACTTGTGTAGCAGGTTTCCGATCCAGGCCAACTGGTTCTGGATCCGTTCTTTCAGCCACTGCACAGGACAACCTCAGCCGCATGCGTTTCTGCCTGTCTGTGGCAGCTGTATAATGGCCCCCAAGGTGTCCATACCGCCATCTCCAGAACTTGTGAATACGTCACCTTCCACGGCACAAGGAACTTTTGTGACGTGATTTAGTGAAGGATCTGGAGATGGGGACAGCATCCTGGATGACCCGGAGGGTGCAATGTAATCACCAAGGAGGCAGGAGGGACAACATTAAAGAGAACTGTGAGCTCAGAGTCAGGGTCATGGTCCCAGAGACTGGTAGATGCCACGCTGCTGGGTTTGATGATGGAGGAAGGAGCAGAGCCGGAGCATGCAGCTGGCCTCTAGAAGCCGAAAAAGACAAGGAACCAGATTCTCCCCCAGACTTTCCAGCAGGCACGTGGTCCTGCTGACACCCTGACTTTAGACTCCGGATATCCACAACTACACAGGAATCAACTTGTGTTGTTTTAAGCCACCAGGTTGGCAGTGATTTGTTACAGCAGCTGCAGGAAACTAATACACCTTCCCCTAGTCCCAGCTGCGGTGACCCCTGCTGTGAGCCTTTCCCTGGCCTGTAG